CTTCCAAAGTTTGCGGAACGATTCTTTGAGCGGAGTTATGGAGGTTTCTTACTGTTTTTCTTCTTACGGGCGCGCTGGCGCCGAAGCGTTGGCACATGTAGCGCGACTCACAACGCTCTTCGCGCAAAACATATTCGTGTTCATGGGGGTCAAATAACCCCTAGAGACGGCACCTTAGCGAAATCTGAGGTTCTGACTCAGCTTCGAAAAAATTGGGGTAAGGTTAGTCATGGCTGACTCAACGATACTGCGACTAGCATACTGATGATGACTGGTCTGCGAGCTGAAATAACTCTTCAGTCCTGTATTTTCGCAAAGAACAATACCTGGCTCACTTATTCGTGCCGTCCTGCATCATTTTCCTGATTACCGGTAGGAAATTCCATCCCAAGACCAGTCATCCATGGTGGGTGGACCCCAGCCTGCTGCTAATTGTCCATAGAATGGCCCACATTTTCCAAGTTAGGTCGAAACGTCAGATTTGGCTAGAAACTTGTCCCCAGGGGCAAATTGACCCGCTGAACATGGATATCATGGTATTTCGTTGCAAAAACCCTTGTAACATGTGTTACGAGGGGGACAAGCACAAGCACTCTTTCAGCCATAATGGGTCTACACTTTCGAAAAAAACTGATCGCAGGTCCCCTTACAGGATGGTACAGGCGAGCAGAGATGTTACAAGCCTCGTATACAAATGCAAAAATGTACTACTGTCCCGGACTTGATCCCACGACGTCTCGCCTAGGAAACCCACTCGCTATCCGTTGCGCTCTACTACCACGTTTCAGAAGGACTCCATACATTTATGTAAAGACGCTTCCACGTTTGCTCGCGATAGCATGTAAAACAACTATGCGGGGATAAACCCCTCCATAACTCCGCTCAGAGACTCGTTCCGCAAATTCTGAAGACAGATTTGAGTTCACCGTCTCAAGACGCGCACAACGGTGTGCACCTCATTGGAAATGGCCAGGCTGACCTGATGACCTTTCCTGGTGAGCAAGAAATAATGACTGATTTAATATATGAACATTAAAGTACCGTGCGCTGATTTTTTCATTATTCATAGTGGTGGGTGAAAGGAAGTGATATCAACCGATAAGATTCGCTAAGAGGCGTTATAAGGGGAGAATCACCATATTGATTGGACTGCGTTCATAGCTTGCGACGACGTTGCCGTCGTCGAGGTAACCGACGTCCGGCGACAACCTTCCAAAGACTGAATACGTATCGATTTGACGTAACCGATGTATCCACTCTTCGGAAGGTTGGTGCCAGTTGCGTCGCCTACGTCGGTTACGTCGACGTCGTCGTCAGGTATGAACGCAGCCTTAAGCTGGTCACAACATCAATTAGGTGTTGATTCTACGACATGGTTATAGTGTTTAGGACAGGAACATTAATGGTGGGTGACACGAACCATATAAGAGTTTATAAGGGCATTATAAGCGCTACCACCAGCGCGGAAAAAAACTGCATGCAAGCTCTAG